AAAAAAAAAAAAACACAAAACCATAAAAATTATAGTGTAATAAACCTCACTACTCAAAATGAAGAGAAACAGCTGTAAACATCCATTGAAAATCGGAACATGGACTTAGCCAGTGACCTGCTCTATTACCTACCTATCCTGGGAGTTGTCAGCAGCCTGCCTTATTGCTAGATCTTCCTGCCTGCCTGCTGACTTGGTAGCCTACAGCTACGTGAGTCAGAGGCCTCCAGCCTGACATCTAGATTTGGGATTGGCCACCTCTACAACTATGTGAACTATTTCCTTGATATAAGCCTCTCTTTAAATATACATACATCTGCTTCACTGGTTTTGCTTCTCTAGAGCACTCAGTCTAAAACAACCTCCATGTACGATCAGTTAATAGTATTTACTTCTATTCACTTTAAATGTTGTATTCCTCCCTAGGTCTTCCACTACCTTCATTTGGTCTTCTGCCAACCTCCCTCTTATTTTATGTTGCCTTCCCAGTCACCCAAGTTAATATCTTTTTTTCTCTCTCTTGTTTTACTGTGAATTATGTGATAGTTTACATGGGAGAACATTAGCTTTATATTCATCCTATCGTATATATCGTTTCCTTGCCATGGTTACAATCCCCTTCATGCATCATCAACCAACCAAAGGTCTAAAGTCCCGAAGCACTCCATCTCTCCACAGCACTGTCTCTGCCTCCACCTCTGGAGATACTGCTTCTCTGGTTACGGTCCCTCTCTCCGCTTTTCTCCCTTGATGGTCCCAGGGACCTCCGCTCCTAGAATACAAAGCCAATCACTTCCCTCCTTTTGCTACAAAATGTCTGCCTTTACATTTCCACATTTCCAACCCTCACAATCAGTCCTGATAACAATTAACCATTGTATCACAAGAGACCTATCCGCATTTCCTTTCATCAGCCATGCCTAGACAGATTGGATAGTACTCAGTGGAGATTCTACCTTCCTCCATGCCCTCTGGATCTAGGTTACTTTTCTTTTTTTTTTTTTTTTTTAATGTTTTATTGTGAATTATGTGATAGTTTACATGGGAGAACATTAGTTTTACATTCATTGTATCGTATATCGTTTCCTTGCTATGGTTACAATCCCCTCCATGCATCATCAACCAACCAAAGGGTATACCCTGCAAGCCTGGCCCTCACACCTCCCCAGTCTCCAGCACACAGTCCCTCTCCCTCTCTGGATCTAAAGTCCCCAACTGCTCCATCTCTCCACGTCATGGTCTCTGGCTCCATTTCAGGAATCACTGCTTCTCTGGATAGGATCCCGCTCTCCACTCTTCTCCCTTGATGGTCCCAGGAACCTCAGCTCCTAGGCTGAAAAGTTAATCACTCCCCTCCTTGCTACAAAACGTGTACCTTTACAATTCCAACCCTCACAAGCAGTCCTGATAACAATTATTCACTATTGTATCACAAGAGACCCATCCACATTTGATTTCATCAGTCCTGCCTAGATAAATTGGATACTACTCAGTGGAGGGAGATTCTACCTTCCTTCACACCCTCTGAATCTAGGTTCCCTCTTGAAAGCTTGTAAGCCAGTCACTTCTTGCCTTGTAGGCCCCCCATTTTGGGTAGCCAATGTCCAAGTTACCCATCCCTGTCTACTCTGTGTATGGAGGGGGTGGGATTGATCTTCGCTGTAGAGATTTGTTCCCTCTTTTGAGCTACTGCATCCATAGGTGTAGGTAAAGTTCATCAAATTGTATCAGATTATTCTTTTTTCCCTCTTCCTTCTTCTAGTTGAGCTCTGATCATCCAGTCATTGAAGCAAAGTCAAGTGGGTACTATCTGCAAGTGTGGATGTTCTTATGCATAACCCCTCTCTTCTTATCAGCTGCATACTTCACTCTCCACTCCAGTCCTCTGTGGCTGTGTCATTGACTCTGGGCCCAAGAGTCCCCAGGTCTTGCCATACTGCTGACTGACCAGGTCTCCACCTGGGTTTACAGGAGTCTATTGATTGTTGTAGGGCTTAGCTCGCCACTTAATTGCTGATTTTCCCTCACTTTCCCTTATCGGTGACAAATGTGATCACCAATCAGAGCATGTATTCCCATTGAACCTTAGTCTTGGAAGGGGGTTTGCCCTGAGGGGACCTGACCACTTGCCTTGATGTCTCCTGGTGAGCAACTTGCTTGTTCTTGTAGTAATCAGTCAGAATGCCTATATTGTTTAATATCTTTTTAAAAGAGGTATGTGGCAGCAAATTTGACCAAATGGAATGCAACCTTTGATTTCTCAACTGCTGATTCTATGAGCATTGATTATGGATACAAATGAAATTAAATCCTTGATAATTTCAATCTTTTCTTAATTTTTCATGATGTAATTTATTGGTACAGTAGTGAAGGTGTTTGTTTTCTCTACATTGAGTTGTATTTTTTTTTTTTTTTAAAGACTGTATTCTTTGATCTTTTATCAATGGGATACTTAGGTTTTGCGACTGGCCAGGATTCTCAGTATTTTAGTAGTTAAAACATGGTAGTCCTTAATAAGATCTGATGTAATGACTTCCATAATGAGATCTGCTATGAGTAGTCAATCAATTGAAGAGCAAAGTTTGCTTGGTATTTGCTGAGTGTGTATCCTGCTTCTGCCTCCTCATCTAACTTCTGCTTCTTTGGACTCGAACCTATGGCCTGCTATATTGCCTGCTTATCATAGTAATCAGTCATTAGTAACCTGCCATCTTACCTTCTGACTTGGATTAATTTGCCTTTGCAACCAGAGGCCTGCCTCTGACATGCAGATCTTGAGTCCATCAACCCCTGCAGCTACATGAGTCAGAAGAAGCCTCCAGCCTGATATCTGAACCACAGTCTTGGAACTTGCCCAGTCTACAATACATGACACATTTCCTTAAAAAAAAAAAACTTTCTATATA